GGCTCAGGTCCCGGAAGCTGGTCTGCAGCATTCTCCATCCCAGGGGTTGGGGAAGGCTGTCAGTGGAGGCAGGGTCTCTTTCGGAAAGGTTTGCTCAAACCACTGCCCAGTCTGCCGGGAGAGCCACGGCCAGCCTGGACGAGCCCTCAGGGATGGGTGTGTTTCTGGTTAGAGGCTGCTGGAAGGAATGTGGGGCTTGACACTTTGAGGCTTCTCCCTGCACCGTGGTTTTTAACAGTCTTGCTTCTTAGCACTTTTTGATGGATTCTCCAGGGATGTCTCTAAAAGAGAGTTATACCTTAATTTAGAAGCAAATAACTTAAAACTCTGTGATGTAGCAGGTTCCTTTGGAAAAGAGATGAATTCAAGGAAGCCACTGTTGTGTGAAGCCACCCGCCATGCTCACCTGGGTCCTGCCAACGGCCCTCAAGCCCTCAGCCCTCAAGTTGTGCCCCCTGCCCAAGGCCACAGGGGGTCAAGGGACAGAGAGGGAGGAAGCAACACTCACAGGAGGCCAGGGTTAGGTTCGCAGGCTGGCTCCAACTGATCCTACTGGCCCCAAGTGCCTAACACAGCCCACCTGCCCCCCTGCCCAAGGGACGCAAGTGAAGGGGAGCCTGGGTGGTGGGCCCATGGCACTGCCCTCCCAGTGCCACAACCAGGCCCCAGGCTTGGTTTAATGCTCTGTTGTCTTAAAAGGTTTAAAAACTTAACAAGGGCCCCACAAATTATGTAGCTGGACCTACCCACCATGTTGCTTATGCACCCCACGCATACCTCGATGTTTGCATCTAAAGACCCGCCCCCTCGGGAACATCCTCTTCCGCATTGCTCCCACCCCCCTTGGCCGTAACCTGTCCCCCACTATGTTGCCATCATGATTGTGCTTCTACCTTACTTGCTCATCCATCCTTCTAAATCTCTACTTTCTGGAAGCTCCTTCTCAGTGCATCCTCTCAGTGGTGAGGGCCTCGAGGCCTGACTCAGTCCCTCTAGACCAACCTACCCTTGATCTCCAAGTGCCCTTGGCCAGTCCCACACACCTGGTGCCAAGGACTCCAGGTTTCTACCTCCAGCCTCGCTCTCTCCCCTTTGACTGCCACATAACAGCCACGTCTACCAGGATCTAAGCCAACCACCAATTTCCCGCATCTTCCTTCTTTGCCAATGCCACTGCCATCCCTCCAGAGCTGTCCTTGCCTCTTCTCCATCAGCAGGTCCTCTTTAAAATAAATCCTCAACCAACGCTCTTCATGACCCCTACTGTTTCCACTGCCCTGGGTCAGCAGCCTCCTCCCCCTAATTGCTGTAACGGCCCCTCATGGCCCTCTGGTTTTGCCCCCATGCCCATCAGCCACACAGGTCTTTTAACAGTGGAAGCAGTTTGAATCTCTTCTCTGCTCCAAACCACCGCAGGGCTTCCCGCCTCACCAGGGCCTGCAGAGTCCTACCTGAGCCACGCCATAAACCAACCCACCCGATGGGGCTCTGGCTACCTGGCTTTCTGGTGGGGCCCCCAGCAGCTCCAGTGCCTTTGCACCTGCCATCTCCCTCCGGATGTTCCTCCCCATCAGTTACAGCTCATCTGCTGCTCTCCATGGTACTGTGCCAATGGCCCCTCCACACAGCGGCCCCCTGACCCTCCCTCTCTGTACTCTCTTCTTTAGTTCTCTTCATGATACCTACCTTACCTGGCAGTCAGTCACACAGGTGTTGTGCCAGCCTCCCTGGGTTTCCATGAGGGCAGACACTGTGTATGTCCTGCTCCTTACCTTACCCCGTGCCTGGCACAGCACCTAGCACCCAGCAGGTTCTGGTAAATATTACCCAAAGGAATGAATGTATGCACGAACCATTTCCATCTCCTCAGGCTCTGTACAGAGGGCTGACATCTCCTGTGTGTTCCAGGAGTGGTCAGACAGTCCCTGTGGTTAGTTCCTGTGAGTTTACTCCTGTGAAGCATCTCCCCTGCCAGTGTGGACCTGTGTAAAGGGGCGAAATCCATAGGGAGGACCTATGTAGGGACTGGTACAGGGACCAGGCAGGGAACTCTCGGCTCTGTTGATGAATGAAGACAAAGGAACTTAGTCAGGATGGGGGTGACAGGGCCAGGGCCTGACCCATGTCTTTGGAGGCCTCGAATGGAGGCTCTCCCCTCCCCCAGGGGAGTCTGGGCCTTCCCATGTCATTCCCCGGTCTGCCTAAGCTGTATCAGGTCACCACTGTGGGGCTTGTCCTCAGCATCTGCCCTGATGCCTCTATCCATTTCCTTTTGCCCTCTTTCCTGCCAACCACAGTGCCTGCTGGCCTGTGCCTGGAGGCTCAGTTACCCCAGGTTTCCTTCCTGGGGTTGTGGGAGAGCAGTGTGCTAATCTACCTCTTCCAGAGTTCCTGCAAGCCCTGCTATAGTCAGCAGCAATGAGAATGCCCTAGGGCCACATGTCATTTTAGGTCTTTTGAGGGCTGGCAAGGGGACAGTACAGGGCTGCCTCATCCTCGCGTCCAGGGAAGGAAGGCACAGTACACACTGTCATCACATATGTGTACCCACGAGAAAACCACACAGCTAGGTTGAGGCTGCTGAGGCCACACCCTGAGTGTCAGGCCAGCCTTCCCACCATGCTGTTCTCTATCCCACTAGAGTCCTACAGGGGGCTCTGGGCAGCCTTGCCAAGTCCACCTGGTTACCCAGAAGTTCCTGGAACCACCCTAGAAGCTCCTGAGATCTGGATCAAGGAATTCCTGAGACTCCAGGAAACAGAAGAGCTGAGAAGTTGGGGTCAAAGGGAGGGATTCACTCTGTGTCCCAAATCTAGAATCCTATAGCAGGTGCCCAGAATGTGGCCTGGCAACAGGGACAAGAGTGAAGCGGCTTTGTCCCTCTTGGCCTGGTCCGTGCCCCTACGAGGGCAGGCAGGCCCAGCTTTCACTACAACAACATGAGCCTTGGTGAAAAGACGAAGGTAGGTGTGTGTTTGGGGGTTGGGGGGTTGGCTACACAGATAAGTAATAAATAGCCCCTTCAGAGGGAGAGTGAAAACATCCCTGGGAGCAAGCAAGCAAGCAGATCTAGGGTGGAAAGTGACACTCGCCTTCCGAGGGAGAGAGACTAGGTCTTATTCACCTCCTGTTGCAGAAGATCAATGTCTGTTAGAGGAACACACCCGAGTTTTAAACCAAATGTCAGAGTCTTGTCCCCGGAGCATGAGGAATGCTGAAGGCACACCACTTCATCCCATGTGATCAGCCCCTAACTGGAGGTTCTCAAGCCTCTTTGATTACTATTCACAAACTCCCATGCCCCAAAGGGGCAGAGTCACCAGCTAAATCTCATTCTCCATCCAGGGTGTTGGTTAATCCTGTACCCTGACCCTCTCCATGAGGCAAGGTGCCTGGAAGGGGAGTCCTAGGCTGCAAGGAGCCTAGGACTGGAGTCTTTCAAGCTCTTCCCCAGGCCCACCCCAGCCCCTAGGTCACAGAGCTGCTCCCCTTTACAGGTGAAGAAACTGTGGCCTCCATCAAATAGCCACTGCTAACAAGAAATGGGATGTTCCATTTCCCCAGCTCCGTCAGCCCCTGTGCATCCCCCACCCACCCTTCCCGCCATACCACCTGTGCTTTCCCAAGCACATCCTATGCTCCTCTGCCAGACCTAACTGCTCGAGTGCCCTCTTTGCGCTTTGGTCCATTTTATCCTCTCTGTCCACAGTGCCCACCCCAGCTGTGCTCACATTCTTCAAGCTCCAGTTCAAATGTCACTTTGCCCATAAGCCCGTCTAACCCCAGCCCAGGTCATCTCTGAGGTCCCTCCAGAGGCCACCGGCATCCACGCTCAGGTTTGGGTTATCTGAGCAGAGATGTTTCTCCCCTGTGGGGTGGTGAGTCAGTCCCGGGAAGGCAGGCCCAGTCCACTCCCACCTCAGCGCCAGGCTCTGGGGGAGCAAATGCTCAGTAAATATTTGTTTAATTGAATTTGGCCAAGGAGCCTCCTCCAGACAGAACCCAAGGCAGCAGGAGTGAGTCCCCAGGGCAGGGAAATCACTTGGGCAGAAGGGAGCCCATCAGGGGCTGGGCTGCCTCACCAAAACAGGCAGACCTCGCCTACCAGGCGGGTCCTTCCATCCTGAGACAGGGACTCCAGGGAACCCTGGTCGCAGCACTTCCTTCCCATCCTCTTCTCTCTTGTGACAGAGAACCCCAATTCTTGGCCTAGGCGGATTCCTGCCATCATCACCCAGGCAGGCTCAGCACCGCCCTGCAGACAGAGCCCCCTTGGATCTCCCGCAGGATACGGAGCCCCTTACATCTCTCCCCTAACATCTCTCCCCCCCAACAACCCCTAACACCCCCACCGCCTTTTAAGGGAAAAAAAATATTGAGCCAGGAACATATCACAATCGCAGCAGGTCGATACTCATCTCTTGCTCTAAATGCCTCCAAGGAACCTGTTCTCTACAAGACCGATGACGGAAAACTGCGAGCCACTCGGCCCCGGGGCCCAGGCCTCCGGGGCCCTCTCCTCCGTTTCAGCCAAGGCCACGCGTCGGCGCTCCAGCCGCCCGGGGTCGCCTCCTCCCCGCTCCCCTGGGAGAGAGACCCCGCCTCAGCGCCTCTCCTGCAGGTCGTCTGGCCCCGGCTCCGCACCGGCGGCTGTTCTGGGGGGGGGGGGGCGGGGGGCGACGCGGCATCCCTGGCAGCCCCTGCCCACCTCCCGGGCCCGCAGCCGCCCCCTCCCGCCGGCTCCTCGGCCGAGTGGCGCCCCTTCCCAGCACCTGCCGGGCCTTCGGTCGCCCCTGCCCACCTCGCGGACATCTCCGTCCCGGTCGCCCACACCCCGGTCGGGCATCCCTTTCGCTGCTTCCCGGCGCCCCCAGCCCGGGCGGATCCCTAGCACAAAGGCCCGGGCGGGGCCCCGGGTGGGGGTGGGGTGGACGCCCCAGCCGCTCCCCCAGCACCCCAAGGTTCTGCCGCGCGCCGCGGCCGCGGGTCGGCTCACTCACCTCCGGGCCGCCGCACGGTGCATCGGCCGAGCTGCTCCGGGTGGGGCGGGGCGGGGCGGCGAGCGCGGGCCGCGGCGCCCTCGTTCCGCACTACGCGGGCGGCGGCACCCGCGCGGGGACGTGACCGGACCACGGGCGGCGCACACCCTTCGGCCGGCTTGGCTCCCTCCGCCCGCTCTCCCGCGCCGCCCGCCGCCCGCCGCCCGCCCGCGGGTCCACCCGCCCCGCGCCGCGCTGCCGCCGGCAGGGGGCGGAGCCGCGAGTGCAGCGCGTTGCCAGGCCAACCGCGGGCGGGGGTGCCGCGCGCCCGCCGGTGACCACGCGCTGGGCGCCGCCGCCCCGCCACAAGCGCCGGCTCTCTTCTCATTGGACAGGAGTGGCTGACGGATGCATGTGCGGTCCTATGGCAACGGGTAGGGGCGGGGCCGTGGCTCCGCGCGCCGCAGTCCGGCACGCGCTGCCCGCACCGGTGTCTTTGGGAGTCTGCTGCGCTGAAGTCGCGGAGCTGACCCAGCGGGACCGCTTCTCGCAGAGCCGGAGACTGAGCCTAAGAGTGGCGGATGGCCCAGGCACCCTCCTCCCCCCGCTCGGCTCCCTGGGTTTGAATTCCAACGCAGTTCGGCACTTTATGAGCTCCGCGACCTTGGGCAACCAACTGACCTCTCTGAGCCTGTTTTGCAAAGTGGGGCTAGTGGCACCGGCTTCTTTGAATTGTCTCGACGATCCACTAGAACGCGTGAAAGGCTATGCAAACCCTTAAGGTATACACCGGTGAGGCTGGAGCAGCGATGGGAGGGACATTAGTCATCTTTGCTGCACATTCCCCCAGCGTGTAGGGGCTCTTCAGGGTCCCTGGCAATCCTGGCTACAGAAGGTTGCCTTGAAAAGGAGGAGAGGGAGAAGGGCCCAGGATATATCCCCCAGATCAGAGAGGCGGGAGGCAGCCGGCTCCGTTAAGGCCAGGATCCCCCATTGCCGCCTTGGAGAAGCTGGTAGAAGGTAGAAGTCATCTCATGTTCAGCAAAATGCACCTGAGCCAGTCTGCCAAGTTTTGCTTTCAGTTTCAGCGGGAGCCCATCAGTGGGCCTCAGAGCCAGGAGGGCACTTCACTCCTGTGCTTAAAAGACTTTGGCCAGAGAGCCAAGATATTAATGTCTCTGTCTTTTCCATCATTATAACTTGAATCTTTCTGTATTCTAGAGCATCCCTGGTAAAAATGTCAGATTCCCCCAGTTAACACCTTATCACTTTACATCCTCCTGGGCACATTATAAGGATCACCCCACACTGGGCAGAAGCACTGGAATTGACCATTGACAGGGGCAGATTGGGTGGTCATCCTAGTCCAGGTTTGTGGTCAGAAGGCAGGGGTGGGGGTCTGGTTCGGCAGGCTGGGCACTGTGGCATTGCAAGATTATTCCGTTACTGCTCTGGGAATGTTTCCTCTGCTGAGGATGAGATGAGAGACTGTTGAGATGGAGATGTTGAGATGGAGACTGTTGGCTCTACTTGCCCCCCACCCTCACCCTGTGACTGACATACCCACATGTGAATAAGTTACCTAAACTGTCAGGGACAGGACAGATGCTGGTGATGGGCATCATGAGGCGAACCTAGACCTGGCAGAGTGCTTGCTGGAGGGGGCCAGTGAGAACCAAAGGGAGGTGGCCAAAAATGGAGGGGGGCTCCTCTGGATGTGTGCCTTCAACCCCCCTGGTTGGGTCAGGCTGGGCCTCTGCTCACAGGATCACTCAGAGGCCAATAGCTGGTGATACCAGTTAGATGGCAGGCACAGGCCCTGCCCTGATGTGGATCAGAGGTGAGCGGGGGTAGGAGGGAAGCACAGACTGGGCTCTGTTGCCTGTACACCCTTGGGGTGGGGTTATTTCACCTAGATGAGCCTCAGTTTCCTTCCCTGTTAAGGGGGACTCAATAAAGGGTCCTTGGAGAGTGATTCTGAGGGGAAATACATGTGGGCACAGGATTAGAGAGGGGCAAGGGCAGTTTCTGTTGTAGGATCAGGGTCCGAATGGAGCTGTTTGCAGGGGCAAGCCTAGAGGTCAGTGTAGGGTGACCCTCTGCCACAGTCCAGGGTGAGATCAGCAGCTAGCCCATGAAGTAGCCTCAAAGGGCTGGCTGCTCCCTCCCTCACCTGAGTCTGGTGGCCACCAACGATCGCAATTCTTCATATGACAATCATTTACTGTTGACCTCCTCTGTGCAGGCACAGTTCTGGGATTTAGACCCCTGCCTGGTAGACCTTCCTATCTGTGGGGCAATAATCCACCATTATAGTTGTGTGCAGCCTCATGGAGGAGACCCACCAGGGCCCTGGGCACATGTGGCAGGGGGAGAACTGGGCACTGGGAGACACCAGGATGGAGGTGGCCTATGACCTGGGGCAGGGGAGAAGCATGTTTCAAGGTGGGGAATGCACTGGGTGTGATGGAGCCATGATGCCTGCAGGAACCCATGGAAGATCAGCTGGAGTGCGTTGGAGCCAGCAAGCAGGTGTGGGTGCCAGAATGCAGGGCTGGAGTGGGGACAGTCACACCAGGCTAGTGGCCCTTCTGTGAGATTGGGGATGTCAGCCCAAGAACCACTGGAGAGTTTTAGGATTAGCTTTTTAAATTTGGGTAGGAGGATGACAAGTTTTGTTTCATATTTGTTTGCTGTATGTGCGGTCCCATTAATGTACATTGTCCTAGTACACAGAATCAAATAACAAAATGTCAGCTAGTCAGCCCTCAGAAAATAAGAAAGCAGAGATTCTCCATGAAGCTGAGTTCAGCGTAGAGTTGTAGGATCACCGAGCGACAGCGTGTGTCTGGCTGCAGCCAAGATAGAGGGATGGAGTGAGGGGCAGAGTGGGGAGGGCGGGGGCCAAACAGGAGGCCCACATGATAGGAGATGCTGGAGGAAGGATGGTGCTTGCTAAGCAGATGGTGGACCAGTGGGAGAGGTGGCTGGGAACCAGCGAGTAGAGGGTCCTGGTACCTTGGGAAGAGAGTGTCTTGAGAGGTGAGATGGGGTCAGCCACATCATGTGCTATGGGAGGCCACATAAGCTAAGAACAGGGATGTGTCCCCAGGAGCAGAGATAGGCACCGGGGGGGGGGGGTTGGCATGCCACCAATTCAGGGAATGGGGGCCACATGATTCTAACCCTGGATGGGTGGGTCTGGATGCCCTGGGGCAGGGGCTGGCACTCTGTCCTCATTCCTTCTTAGCCAGGAAAACAGGACCAGGAGACAACAGCTGGGACCCTTTTGATGGAAAGAGGAAGGCCCTGTTCATTGAGCCTCATACTTCACCAATCCAGCAGGGACAGATGGCCGAGGAGCGGCCTCTCTAGGTGCTATCAGGCTATCCTCCAGGAAATGACCAAACCTCAACCACAGGGCATTTTGTGCCCTGGGCACCCTGTTCCTTCAATTCCAGAGGGATTGGTGGAGCTTTCTGGGCCATAAACCACTGAATCCATCCTGGCACACCAGCCATGCCAGACCCGGGGCCTTCCCCAAGTACACCTATACCTCATACCTTTGTCCTGCTGCCCCATGGGGTCCAGCCTGCCTGGGCCTCTCTTCCTGCATGTTCAGAATCCCTAGGACCCTGGAATTCCTCATCAACTTAAGTACGAACCTGTGTTGTCATGACGGGTCCTGGCTGACTGCCATTTGTCTCCCCACTACCCAAGGATGGGGGTGGTGGCTTCTTGCTCATCTCTGGATGCCCATAGCACCATCCTCTCTGGCTCTTCTCCCAGCTTAATCTGCTCTCCTAAGCCCCGCTGACCAATTCTCAGGCTGTGGCAGGACTGAGTGGGTTTCTCCACTTTGTTTCCTTGGGATCTGTGCAGCCCCCCAACCCCAATTTGAACAAGCCATTGCAGATCTGGGTTAGTTATAAATAGCCAGGCCTGCAACTCTCCTTTTAGCTGAAAAGCAAAGTGAACGAGTAGAGAGGCACACCCGGCACGCGTTTTATTTTTAATCTTCTCCCTCTGTCTCAGAATGAACCCGGGTCCTGGTGCTCAGCATTTCTAGGAGTGGAGGCCCAAGACAAATGCCTGCGGGAAAAAAACCCCAAAGTAGCCCAGGGCCCTAGCTTTACCCTGGTCTGCTGTGTGACCTCAAGCACTTGAATTGCTTCTCTGGGCCTTAGTTTCCTCACCTAGGGAGGGAGCAGTGGAGGTGATGGCCTCCAGCAGTTTGACTTCAACTCTTCGTCACGCCCCTCCTCCAAGCCTGTGCCCAGCAACACCTATGGGAAGAGGGAGTCCCTGGAAAGCCCAGATCCAGATGCAAGTGAAGCCACAATCAAGCTCCAGTTTGATGATGCACAAATTCCTCATCCCCAGGCCTTTGCTCAGCTGTCCCCCAGCTAGGAACTTTCTCCCTCTATGCAAAATCCTTCCAGGCAGCAAAATCCTTGGTAAGTCCAACTGTCATCTGCCTGCAGTGAGTTGGGGAGGGGCTGTCTGGGTCAGGTTGTGGTAGAGTCAGACCCAATGGCTGGGGCAGGTAGGGAGTCTGTGGGGCAGGTGCCCCAGTGGGCAGTGGAGTTAGAGCAGAAGGCCAGGTGTGTGGTCTGGCTGGGGCCTGATGGGGAGGGTGAGGCTGAAGGGGAGAGAGGGGCTGTGTTCCCACAGGGCAAGGGCGGTTCAGCTTTTGTCTTTGCATCCCACTCCTCGACCCTCACCCCCACCCCACAGGCCTTTGCTTGTAGCTGGGTCTCAGTAGTGGTGGAATTACTTATGATGCTAGGTCCAGATGTTCTGGGCTTATGTGATAGTCCCTTCCAGGGAGCATGCTCCCACCAATCACTACCCCTTGGCATTGCACAACCCCTTGCCAGCTAGGCTGGTTTGCATATCGAGGAAAACAGGCTCTGGGAGGTTAGGTAACTTGTCTAAGATCACACAGCAGGATACATTAAGGAGTCCAAGACAGGCATTTTTTGAAATCTGCGTGTACTGAATTTTAAAAAGTGCAGTGCTCTTAAAGCAACGGGCAACTGCTCTTCCTGTGTTGTGAATGCCCTGAGAATAA